CCTCTCTCTCTCTCTCTCTCTCTCTCTCTCTCTCCTACGGCGTGCCAAGAAGCAACGACCATTCTCTTCTTTTATTTTGTTTCTTTTCTTGTGTTTATAATTTTTTTTTTCTTATTGTGTGAGGTGACACCCCGTACTTGGCGGGCTCCGGCCAAGAAGCAGCCACCGGGCCTTCCCTTGGCCGACCCCCCTAAGGCTGCGACGCGTATACGGGAAGGCCCGCGGCCGATAGCTGAGCGAGGTACTGGTAGAAGCCATCCCGCCGCACCTACCAGCAGGTGGGATAACTGCTCCAGCAAGTGGGCGACACTGGTAGGTACCAGCCCGTAGCGTCAGAGGCCATGAGAAGCGGACCAATCTCTGCGCCGCCACTGTGGTCCCCTCCCTCTACGAACATCAGCATTCGCTGCCTTCGCTGCCTACCGATTGGGGCACCAACGTGTTATCTGTCAATGGTTGTCAATGGTGGACACCAAGTATGCCCAGGAAGGTACCACTCGGGCACTCTCCCGAAAGAATTCAGCATCCTTCAGGATTTGAGCCCTTGACCTTCGTGAGGGATTGAGTCTCTGACCTCCTGAATGCCACTTGTGTCGCTTACCAGCTGGGGTACCGGCACGCCACTGCCCGACTTTTCTTTTAGGGATTGTGAAAGAGGGAAGGAGCTCGAATGGTGCAAGGAGAAGGGGCCCAGGAGTTTTTTTCTTGTCGTTTCGCGGCCACGTAAAATCGTAACGGGGAGCAGAGCACCCGGGAAAAAATTCCGGCCTGTCCTTCGGGACATCCGTTAAAATTGGAACGATACAGAGATTGATTAGCAATGGCCCCTGCGCAAGTAAGGATGACACGCATAAATCGAGAAATGGTCCAAAAATTTTCCGGCCTCACAGCCCCAAAGAAGTTGGCGGTCACGCAAGGGCAAAGAAAACAAGCCGCGCGGCCGAAGTTGCGGTGGGGCGGAAAGTTGCGGAGGGGCCGAAGTTACTGAGACTGCTGGGCGGAGTTGAGGAGGTGCGTGTTTTTTTTCTTTTTTCTTTTTCTTTTTTTTGAGTGCGTGTGTTTTCAGGCGCGGTGGTGCATGAAGGTTTGTGCGGACCAGTGAGAGAAATATGCCGCGCGGCATACGCACAACACTTGGCCAAATAGTAATTGCAGTCAGATGCGTCCAGTTATGGACGTAAATGCGGTCAGATACGTTTAGGATTGTGCTGGTGAGAGTGAGTTTTCCGGCTGCAATTGCGGCCCAATTCGATGGGGAAAGATGATACTCGTATATTCAATTTTTTTTTTTGGTCGCTGGAATGACCCCCTAATTCTGTCGAGAAAGCTCTGATGTGTTAGCAGCAATGAAGAAACGAGAAGTAAGAACACACTTGACGGCGCCATCGTCATCCATCTATCTTCGACGTATCTGACCGCAATTGCAGCCAATTTCGCTCATCACCAAATTCTGCTCCCAGATCACGGTTTCGCTCTAACCTGTTCAATCATCGCGCTTTGTGTTGGTATCCTGAGGAGAAATCTTCTCTCTCTCTCTCTCTCTCTCTCTCTCTCTCTCTCTCTCTCTCTCTCTCTCTCTCTCTCTCTCTCTCTCTCTCTCTCTC